AGCAACAACTATAAAGGGAAAGTTTGATAAACTAGGTTATATTAAAATTAAAGAATTTCCATTCATGAATGGATACCATTAAGCATATGCAAAAGCAAGCTACAGAAAAAAAGCTATTTACAATACAAAGAACTCATATATACAATACCAGAACATACAAGTTGGGGCAAAAGTGGTTTATACTTGTGAGTACACAGAACACAGTTTATTCTTGTATTATTATTTATTAATTATTGTATTGTATTGTTTCCATACAAACAAATGCAAACCTACTTTTGCCCCATCCTGGATGTTCTTACCAGAAGCCAGTAAGAAAAAGAGACAACGCAACAGAAAAAATAGATAAGCAAAGTTAATCTATGGTGATAGAAGTCAGGATAGTTGTCAACTTTGAGGAATGGGGAGTGACTGAAAAAGTACATGAGCAAAGTTTTTGTTTGGTTTCATTTTTTAAGAAGATTTTATGTTTTTAGAGAGAGGGGAAGAAAGGGAAAAAGAGGGAGAGAAATATTAATGTGAGACAAACATCGATCGGCTGTGTCTTGCACATGCCCCACCTGGGACTGGGCCCTCAACCCAGGCATGTGTCCTGACCAGGAATCCATCTGGCAATTCTTCACTTCACAGAATGACACCCAACTGAGTCACAATGGTCTGGATATATGGTTTAATTTTTAATATGAGTACTGGCTACATAAGCAGGGTCACTTAGTGATAATTCATTGAGTTGTACTTTTATGAACTTATATTTCAATTTTAAAAAGTTTATTGAAGCACTAATACTAGAGATGTGTTAACCTCCTTGTCATTTGAAGACCCTACAAATTCATACTATCTAAAAATCACTGGGATCAGTAAACTTATGATCAAGGCCATCATAATGAAGATAATGACTATCCATTGTTCTAAAATATTATTTCATTTGGTTCTTCCCACCATCCTTTATAGCTGGCTCAATTATTTTTGTCATTATATAAAGAAACTGAATCACAAAAAAGTTTAGTGAGAGCCTGCACACTTCTTAATCACTACACCATGCAGCTTCTCATTTTGTTACTAGAATTTATTAATAAATATGTCATTATGGTAAACCTTTTCTCTTTCTTTAAACATGTATCACATCCCAGATCCTCTTCCTTTTCAAAAGAACTGAAATCATGTCTTGTGATTCATATTTAAAAATACATATCTACTCATTAGATAATAAATATCTTGAGCAATCATGTCTTAGATTTTTCTGTATTATCAACACACCTCTGAGTACACGAATGGGATTCAAGACATGTGTTTTTTATGAGGAGAAGAAAGTTATTTTCTTCCATCAACTACCAGCTTCGTAGTAGTAAAACCACTCCAGAGATAGAGAAAACAGGTGAAACAAGCGTGTTAGGAGAGGGTGCTTGAAAAATAAATGTCTACGAAACATCTATGTGAGAAATACTAACCAGCACAAGAGAAAATAAGTAAACATTCTATGATTAACATTAGTTCAAAGTTAGGTATAATTTATTGCTTCAGTACATTTCATAATTAGCATACCAACCCAAGGATTAAGAAGATACATGTTCCCTTTAATCTGTTGGTCTTACTTAGGCAGATTCCTTAACTCTCATTGAAACTTAATCAATATCTACATTCCGAATCTGTGGGAAATAAATAAAATACTGCCATTTGCTAATTTTAAGGGTTCTTAAGGGCTACCCACCTTTCTAAAAAGAAAGATGTTACAATCATGTGGAGGCAGATAGCAGTTTGACTTCTGGCATGAGGAGTTCCACTCACTGTTCTGTTCCCCAGAAATTAGCAAAAACTATTAAAAAGCCCCAACTATCTAAAGCCTCTGGAAATATTAAAAGCAAAAATTAAAAAGGAACATCTATTAAAGAAAATCTATGAAAATTCAGTATAAAAAGCAGGAATCTGTGGTATTTGAACCAAAATGGTTCCTTCCTTCCCCCTGCCAAGCTCAGCTAGGGAGAGGCTTCAACTTTGCCTGGGAGGGGCAAAACCTCTATATTTCTCTTCTTGTACCCAGCTGCCTGATGATGAGGCTAAGTCTCAGACAAGTGGAATAAAGGCTCTACCTTAGGTCTAATTCCCCTAGATATTGGCAGCTCAAGAGCTCTTCTCTTAGTCCATAAAGCAAGGAGATTCCACATGAGAAGTATGCCTAGAAGACCCCCACTATTGCACACTTAGCTACTACAGTGGGGGATTGCTCAGGAGAAGCTTGCCATAGTTTCCATCCCCAACTCCAGAGCCCTGGCACAGAGATTTTGACTGTGGAATAAACAGACCATAAAGGCAACAGTTCCTAATCTCTTCCCAAAGAAACTGACTTCATTTCAAACAGTGTGAAGGGCTCTCTCGTAAACAGTGCAAGAACAGTAGAGGTTCTGATAAAAGGCAATTGGAAGGAGATTCATGAATCTACTTAAGATACAGCTTAGACTGTTAACCAGTTCATAGGGTAGAAGCAGGGAATAAGAGAGCAGAATAGGAGCCTTCCTGGAGTCAGAACAAATATCAAATACTGACTTCAGAAACTACTCCATCAAAGAAGCTACAGTCTGCTAGTATGAGTTTGTAGAGAAATTTTTGTCCCATGGCACTGCTGAAAACAACCAAGCAATTGGTCAGGAATTAGTGGAGTTTAGCAGTTGGGCGTGATCGAGAAATAAGAGAAAGAGAGTCTGACCAGTACCACTGTCATCCCAGGGTGACTGTGGGCATACCCTAAGCTGTGCCTCCCTGAGGAGCCGTGCAAGAGGCTTGACACTGTGGGGGATGACAATGTAGAGTATAGGCTTCACGAAAAGAATCCAGCCAGTTTCTAACAAATATTACAAGGTATGCAAAGAAACAGGAAAATATGACAGTATGACCTATATATACATCTGGAAAAAAGCAACAACAGTAACTATCTGTGAAAGTTACCAGCATTAAACTTATGGAAAAAGATTTCAAAGTAGCTATTAGACATAAAATGATGGGAAAAAAATCACTAAAGGGGCTCAAGCATAGATCTGATCTTGCATAAAAAAATTAAACTTGAAGACACAGTGACTGAGATTATGCAAGCCAAAGATCAGAAAAAAAATAATAAAGAAAAAAGAGCCCCAGAGAAACGTATGAGACATCATTATCTCTATCAATCTATGTGTAATGGGAATACCAAAAGGAGAGGAAAGGAGAAGGAAAAATAAATACATAATGGTTTTTCAAAGACTTTCAAATTTACTGAAAAACAATAACCCATACATCCAAGAAGCTCAACAAACTCCAAATAGGATGACTAAAAAGAGACCCCAAAACAGACACATCAGAGTAAAAATATTTAAAAAAAATTACTAGTGTTGGTAGGAGAAAATCTAGAAGTAGTATTACATTAAATAAGGAGGCCATTAGAATGATGTGACTTTAATGCCTTAGTAGTATGCATAACCAAAATCTAAGCCTAAAAATCCCTCAACATTAAGAAATCAAATCCTGAGAAACACTAATTACAATAAATAACTAAGATTTTCCAAATAATGCAAATGGTAAAGCTACAGCCTATCAAATAATTTCCTTGCTTTGCTCTGTCCCTTCTTTCTAAAAGGCTGGCCCCTAGCTCCTGTCAGTAGAGTGCTCCTAACCATTTCTGATTCGGTACTGCTGAATCTGAATAGATTTTTGCTCATATAAACTCTTAATTTTTTAATCTTAACCAAAGGACTTTTTTCATTGCTTCCTTCAAAAAACTTTTAAAGAGAGAAAGGAGGAGGAAGGAAGAGAAACATCAATCATCTGCCTTCAGTATATACCCAGATGAGGGACTGGCACCCAGAACTAGGACTGGCGTCCAGACCAGGAATTACATGGAATAAGAAGGGGGTCGCATGCACCCACAATGAACCAGAAATTGAACCACAGTCTAGGAATGTGGCCTGACTACAAATCTAACCTACAACCTTTCATTTACAGGACAACACTCCAACCACCTGAGCCACACCTGCCAGGGTTTAAAATTTTTAATATGCCTCAGTTCACCTTTTGACAGTAGAAAGAGAAGAAAAAGTGTCACTTATAAAGGAACCCCAATAAGGTTAACAACTAACTTAGCAGAAACAATGAAAGCCATGAAACTATGAGATAACATGTTCAAACTCCTCAAAGAAAAAACTGTCAACCAGGAATTCTGTACCAGCACAGCTGTCATTCAGAAATAGAGGTGAAACAAATACTACCCAAGTAAACAAAAACTGAAAGGATTTGTTGTTAGCAGACCTACTTCACAAGAATTACTATAGAAAATTATTGAGAAAGCAACTGATCTCAGATGATAATTCAAATCCACACCCACAAAGAGCACTGGTAAAGGCCACTATGCAATTATAAAAGACAATAAATATGCAAAGTTTTCTCCTTTATTCTCTTGACTGACAGAAACAATTATATAAAATAACATATACACAATATTCTGTTGAGTGTATAACATGTAGAAATATATGTATAATATATTTTCTAATAATAGCACAAAGGAGGTAGATGGGAGTGAAGCTGTTACGAACTGAGGAAATAGGAAATGGTAGAGTAATAATTTGAACAATGCATTATTGGGTTTGCAGCACATGTCTAACCATAATAGCACAAAAACAGGGAAATGAGAATAGCACTACATAGGAGATATATTTCTATACATTACTGGAATTAAGCTAGTATAAACCTGAAGCTAATTCTGATAAATTAAGATAGGCAAACACTTGGGCAATCATTTCAAAAAAGTAACAAAAAACACCCTTCAAATACAGGGGAAAAATAATTAATGAAACTAATATTCATTCAATGCAAAACAGAGAAAAGAGAAGCAAAAATGAACTGAGACACAGAAAACAAAAAAAAAATACAGACATAAATACAACTATATCAACAATATAATAAATTCATATTAAATGTGAATGACTGAAACAATCCAACCAATCAAAAGGTTGTCTGATTAAATTACAAAATCATGATCTGTGCTTGCTTAGGCAGCACATATACTAAAATTAGAATAATACACAGAAGATTAGCATGACCCCTATGCAAGGATAACACACAAATTTGTAACATATTCCATATTTTCATGATATCCCAAAAGAAATGGAAGAAACAAAAACTTATGGCCTGGGTGTAAATTCAAAATTAAATAAGTATTAATAAAAGTTTTTTAAAAATTTTAAACATAAACATTATCCAACTATATGCTTTCTACAAGATACAAATTTTGGATTCAAAGACACAAACAGATTACAATTAAAAAGATAGAGGGAGGGAGGAAGATGACGGAGGGGTGAGTAGAAGTCACACAAATCTCCTCCCAGGGCAATCTGGAATTACAATTCAATTGAGGAGAAACCACCCACACAAATAAGTGAGCAACATCAAGACAGAAGCCTTACAACCTCAGACAGATAGAAGAATCAGCCTCAGCACACCTATCTGCACCTGTACAACAGCACACAAGACATGCTGAGCAGAGTGACCCTCAGTCACCCAGTGGAAAGACCCACAAAAGAAAGACCCAACAACAATCAAAACCCAATTACACCCACAGAACCACATAAACAGCCTAAAGAGCATCCCAAGAGCATCTAGTTCAGGTAATCAAAGAGATCGCACCACTGAATCTCACAGGTCTCCTACCACAGAAGTTCATACCACAAACACAGGGAGTCAAAATAGATCAATTTAAGAAGCAGAAGCAAACAAGAAGAATCTCACAAATAATGAGCAAAGAAACAACCCCCAATCTAAAGGAAAGGAAGAATCCTTAGAAAGAGTGCTAAATGAAATAGAGACAAGTCAATTATCAGAATTTAGTTCAAAACAATGGTTATAAGAAAGTTCAATGAGCTCACTGAGAATTACAAAAACTACAGGGAAACTATTAGGAACTTACTGCAAACTATCAGCATAAAAAAGGACACAGAAACAATCAACAAGGACCAAGATGAAATGAAGAATACAGCTTCTGAACTGAAGAACACAGTAGAAGGAATCAAAATCAAGCAAGATGAAGCAGAGGACTGAATCAGCAAGCTGGAGGACAAGGTAGGAAAAAAACTCCAATAAGAGCAATAAAAGGAAAAAAGCCTCAAAAAGAACAAAGAGGGGTTAAGGGAACAGCAGGACAACATGAAACTGAATAATACCTGTATAATAGGAAAACTAGAAGGAGAAGAAGAGTAGTATGGTATAGAAAACTCATCTGAAAAAGAAATGATGAAAAACTTCCCTAATTTGATCACAGAAAAAGCCACTCAAATCCAGGAAGCACAGAGGGTCCCAATCAAGAGGAACCCAAAGAGGCCCACTCCAAGACACGTCATAATTAAAATGGCAAAATTCAAAGACAAAGAGAGAATCTGAAAGGCAGCAGGGAGAAAAAGGAAGTTAACATATAAAGGAGCCTTGATAAGGCTAGCAGCTGACTTCTCAACAAAAACACTACAAGCCAGAAGGGACTGGCAAGAAGTAGTCTAAGAAATGAAAAGCAAAGGCCTGCAACCGAGACTACCCAGCAAGGCTCTCAATTAAAATGGAAGGCGAAATAAGTTTTGCAGACAAAAGAAGGCTAAAATAATACAACTCCACCAACCCAGCACTGAAAGATATGCTGAAGGGACTGCTTTAAGAAGAGGATGAAAAAGAATGAGAAAGAGGAACACAGGTACAAAGGGAGTAAAACGGCAATGAGTAACAACCTATCAATAATAACCTTAGATGTAAATGGATTAAATGCTCCAATCAAAAAACACAGTAACTAAATGCATAAGAAAACAAGGCCAATACATATGCGGCCTACAAGAGACCAACCTCAGAACAAAAGACCTACACAGACTGAAAATGAAGGGTTGGAAAAAATATGCCAAGCAAATGGACAGGAAAAAAAAGCTGGGGTAGCAATACTTACATTAGATAAAACAGACCTCAAAACAAAGTCCATAAAAAGAGACACAGAAGGACACTTCATAATACTCAAGGGAAGAATCCATCAAGAAGACATAAATATTGTAAACAAATATAAACCCAGGATAGGAGCACTCAAATATATAAGAAAAGTCTTAGAGGACGTCAAGAAAGATACAGATAGCAATACACTTATACTATGAGATTTTAATACCCCAAGTCAACAATGGATAGATCTTCCAAACAAAATATAAACAATGATATCGTGAACTGAACAATACCCTAGATAAAATGGACTTAATATTATATATATATATAATTAACAAAACAAGGAAGGAAAAATATAACCAGAGATATTGAAATAAAGAACACACTGACAGTAACCAGAGGCGAGAGGAGAAAGAGATAACAGGGAAAGAAGGGAAAGGGTTGTCAGGGAAAAGACCCATGAACAAAGCCAGAGGGGAAATATGGAAGGTGGGACAGGGGAAAATGGTGGTATGAAAATGGAGACAACTCTATTTGAACAAAAATTTTAAAATGATAAAGAAAAAGGATGGAAAAGTATATATTATGAAAGGGGAAACCAAAAAAAAGCTAGAGGGGTATACTTATAGAACAAAATAGACTTTGAAACAACAAAAAAAAGTTACTAGAGATAAAAAAATTTAATGATCATAAAAGGGCCAGTTCTTTAAGGTGATATAACTATTGTAAACATACATGTGCCTAACAACAGAACACCAACATATAACAAATAAAAACATACATTAGAAAGATAAGTTAATAATAAAAGTTAATGCCTCACTTTCAATAACAGATAGAACTAGACAAGAGATGAGTAAGTAAATGGAAGACTTGAACACTTTAAATCACTAGACATAACAGGCATTTTTTGAACATTCCACGCAACAACAGAATATAGATTCTTCTCAAGTACACATGGAACATTTTCCAGGACAGACCATATGCTAGGCCAAAAAACAATCTTAATAAATTGAAAGGATAAAATTAAAAGGATAAAAATGTTACATTATATTCTCTAATCACAATAGAACAAAATCAGAAATCAATAACAAGAAAAACCTGGGAAACAAATATGTATGTGGAAATTAAGCAACATCCTTTTGAACAATAAATGAATTAAAGGAAAAAAATCAAAAAGAAACTTAGAAAATACTTTGAGATAAATAAAGATACAACATTCCCAAACTTATGGGGTACAGCTAAAGCAGTACTTACAGGGGAATTACAGTGTAAATGTCTGTGTTAAGGAAGAGCAAACATCTCAAATCAATATTCTAAACTTCAAAATTAGGACATTAAAAAAAGAACTAAACCTAAAGTAAGAAAAGGAAATAGTAAAGATTAAAACATAAATTAATAAAAGTCTAGAAAGACAATAGAGAAAAATCAATGAATCCAAAAGCTGGTTCTTTGACAAGAAGCTTTTAAAACCTGATCAGCAAAACAAACTTTAGCTTGTCTAACAAAGAAAAAAAAGAACAGATTAAAATTACTAGAATCAGAAATCAAAAAGGTGACATTGCTATCAATCTTACAGAAATTAAAAAGATTATAAAAGAATACTTTGACCAATTATATTAAAAAAATTAGATAACAAAGATAAAATAGGCAAATTCAATAAAAGATACAAATTACTGCAAAATGACTCAAGTAATAAATCATCTATATAGACCTATAACAAGTAAAGAGACTGAATCAGTAATCAAAAACTATCCACAAAGAACTAAATGATTTATAGAAAAGGAAGGAATGCTTCCTAACTCATTTTATGAGGCCAATATTATTTTGCTACCAAAACCAGAAAAAGACAACAGCAAAAAAACTACAGACCAGTCTATTTCTTATTAATATGAAAAAAACTCAAGAAAATACTAGCAAACTGAATCTAGCAACATATAAAAAGTTATACACCATGACCACCTAGGATTTATCCTAGGGATGAAAGGTCGGTTTAATTGCCAAAAGTCAATTAATGTAATCTATTACATTAACAGAATAAAGGCAAAAATTACATAATGATCTCAATAAATACAGAGAAAGTATTTGACAAATTCAACACCTCTGCATGATTAAAATACTCAACAAACTAGAAATAGAAGGAAACTTCTGAATCCAATAAAGGGGACCCATGACACAGCTAATACTTAATGCAGGAAAGACTGGATGCATTTCCCTAACACCAAAAAGAAGACAAGATGTCTGTTTTTGTAACTTCTATTCAACATTGTACAGGAGGTTCTTGCCAGGATAATTAGGTAAGAAAAAGAATCAAAAGGCATCCAGATTCAAAAAAAGGAAGTAAAACTCTCTGTGTTCACAGACAGTGGGATCTTACATATACAGAAAATCCTAATGAACCCACTAAAAAGTAACTGAAACTAGTAAGTTCATCAAGGTTGCTTATAGAAAAATCAATGATATTTCTAAACATCTGCAATAGCCTCATCCCACCCCCCCAAATTAAAAAAGTTATTTTGTTCATAATAGCATCAAATAGAATAAAATACTTAAGAATAAATTTAAGGGCAAAAATTTATATTCTTAGAACTACAAAACATCCTTGAAAGAAATTGAAGCTCTAAATAAAGGAGAAAACATCACATGACCCATGAAGCAACAACACTCCCTAAACTAACTTACTGATTGAACACAATCTCTCGGAATTCCAGCTGCCCTTGTGAAAATGGACAAGCTAATTCTAAAATTCTAAAAAGCTTATTTAATTGTAAGAAATCCAGAATAGCCCAAACAATCCTACAAAAGAAGAATAAACTAGGTCTCACACTTCATGAAATTAAAAGATTAAAAAGCAAAAGTCATCAAGACTTTGATACCGGAACAAGGACAGACACATAAATTGATGCGTCTGAACTGAGAATTCAAAGACAGGGGCTGGGGTTTATAACTAAAGGATACGGGGTTTCTTTTGGAGGTGATGAAAATGTTCCAAAATTGCCATAGCTGCACTTAAATGTACCAAAAACTACTGAATTGTACAACATAAATGGATTAATTGTATGGTACATAAATTTTATCTCAATATAGCTTAAAAATCAAGTATAGAAAGAAGGATCTAAAGAATACTTTGAGTCTGATTCAGTTTATCAGATTATTAGAGAATCATAGAAACCTAGAGCTGGAAGGGTC